TCCAAGTGCAATCGTGTGGTAAACTGCACTGGCAGATCTAATCTGGCTGGAAAGAATACTCTAGAGTAAAAGAATGAATTTGCTGCCTAATGAGTTTCCAACTCTTCTAGACTGCCTTGTAGACATCTCTGAAAGACAAACTAAGGTCAGTGCCAGACTGAGAATGAACATTGAGGAAGGGAGAGGTGACTGGTGAGGATGATGGATGCAATCGTGTGGTAAACTGCACTGGCAGATCTAATCTGGCTGGAAAGAATACTCTAGAGTAAAAGAATGAATTTGCTGCCTAATGAGTTTCCAACTCTTCTAGACTGCCTTGTAGACATCTCTGAAAGACAAACTAAGGTCAGTGCCAGACTGAGAATGAACATTGAGGAAGGGAGAGGTGACTGGTGAGGATGATGGATGAGGGCTATGTCAGCTGGCTTAAACAGCATGGACAAGCACCATGCTTCACAGGCTAGAGTTGAAAACATAGATGCCTTTCTCATGATTTGTAATTGAAGTCTTTCATGCTACTAACACACACACAAAAAAGCTTATGAAATTATTCAGCTTGCTAGGGAAAGGCAAATTTCTGCAGGCAATAGAGAGGATTTTGCTTGCTCCTTTCATACTGTACTTAGTAATGTATCATCTCATTGAAAGGGAAGGGACCCCATGGGACAGCCTCAGCAAAAGGTAGTTCTGAGATGCTCTCCTCCACATGCTAATCCACACCACCCACTCTCTTACTCTTCTTTCTCTAGTCTTCACAGACCACCAGTGGCCCACCATCTCTGCAGCTCTGTTCTGGAAGTTTGCTGATGGGAAGAGAGAATGTCAGTACTCTGACAAGAAGGCATGGAAAAGGCCTGTTTCTGCCCACCTTCTGCCTCCCCTGTTGTAACAACTCCTCAGCTCTAGACAGAGATGGTGCAGAATGGAGACAGCAGCCCCATGAAGCAAGGAACAGGACTGACTGCACAGGACACATTAATCATGCAAACCAACTTAAAATTTGTGCACACTAATTTCAGAGTCCATCACCGTGTCTTTCCCATCAGTAGTCAACAAGAAGATATCCCAGATAATAATTGTAAATTTCGGTTTCTCAGCTGAAAAAGTGAGTACTTGAATTATAGACAGAAGCATCCTTCCTATTAACTTTTGCCTGCCACTGAAGTTCAATTATTAAAAAACCAAAGCAACAGACAAAAAGGGCATGCTTGGGAAGATAGGGGGTGTCCACTTACATAATTTTGCTTCTTTAGTTTTGCTAGCTTATTTAATATAGTTCTCTAATTTCAACCATACTTAGCAAACAGAAAATCTTAGTTCTGATTGGGAAGAGGAATAAGCCATTCCGATGACCTCTAGACAAGTGTAATTCTGTTCACAGCTCAGCTTTCATTGATCTACTATCTTGTTGCCATAGCACATTCTGCAATCAAAGAACCATTTTTGGAACTTATTTTGATGCCCAACTACTCAGCCTTCCATTAGACTAAGGAAAAAGGTCATGTGCCCATGTTTTTTCCCTTGTACCTCAGCCTGAAAACACCATGGCTGGAGACTAATATTTCTGTGCCTGCACATTCTTCTGAAATAAAAGCATAGTTATCCACTCACCTGAACATAGACAAGTGGAAACTGTGGGGAAAGAGCAAAGGAAAAATCAGTATTAGAAATATTAGTCACATATGGATGAAGTAATTTCCAGATTTGGAGTGAAGGGCAGAAGAACAACCTTCTAAGAAGCCTTTTGGATTCTTTTTCTGTACTTGCTCTGTTTCCTTGGTTCTTGATGGCTAAGAGAATCTTACAATAATATTTTAGGGCCCTGACTTTTTGTCTTAGCACAGTATGAAAACTTGGTAAAGAGTTTTCAAAGAACTTGTCTGCATGAGGAACTGATTGTCAAAGAAGCTAGAAGGAGTACTTACACCCCTGACCAGATCATTAAAACCAAGTTCTTGTCATACTACTATCTGTCTCTAAGGTTGTGGTTGCACCCACTGCCAGAAACAACTGCACACCTGTCACTTTCCATTTGTCCCACCCATTTTTTTCAGTAGTGAGATCCCTGCCTGCATGCTTAGGCAAATATGTTCCTTTGCAAATCTGGTTTTAAACACCTACATGCCTTTGAAAAAGGGGATATGCTTTTCAGTCAATAGAGACAGGTGGAGTGTGTCCCAGGACAGATTATGGAACGGGTCAAGGATGGTGTAAGAGAATATCATATGCTTTAAAGGCTGTCTTCAGTGGCTCTGAATGACTACAATAATGGTGTTAATTGAGAATGAAACCTCTTGGTTAGCAACAAGGAATCAAGGCTCTACCTTCTCATTCAGCGGGTAGAAGTCTTTGTCCAGAGAGACGATCCGAAACAGAACTGAAGGGTGTAACAGAAAAGAAGGAAATTCCACTGTTAAATTTGTAGCCATTACCAGGAAATGTCAGTGTTTCAATAACTCATAACTCAGATACATTCTATGGATCAACAGACTCTGAATTGAGGTCTCTAAGTAATGGAAGCAATTACTTCAGGCTCTTTCTCTTGCAGATGGCAAAAGGCAGATAAATTTAGAAGGATAACCAGGTTTTGACTGAATTGAATTGTCCCTTGGGAGTGCCTGTTCTGCTTTGTTAATTCAGGTGCAGCCAATGGAGACTATGTTTTGAAGTCATCCCAGTTTTGTACTATTAGTTGAGCAGAATAAATCTGAGCCTGTGCCTACATGTAGCTGAGATGCTGTGTCTGGAGGATGGAGGCACCACATACCCTAGATCTCAGCTGACAGATATAAAATTTACTGAATGCTTAAAGAAGAAATCTGAAAACTTTAACAAAAGTAAATTATGGTGCTTCTGGGAGTGATATATCTAAGATTTTACACTGTCAGAGTGAACACCAACCCAATTCCCTGTACCTGTCTGTCCGGGCTTGTAGATGGGTTTGTCTGTCTGGACGAAGACCAAGCTCTCAGAATTCTTGACCAGCACTGACTTGCGGCTCTTGAACTGCAGTGTGGCCCCCTTCACTGTCACAGTGAGAAATGCCACTGATGTGCTATTGGATTTTGGTAGCTAAGGAAAATGAAGAGGATAACTGCTTTACTGATTCAGTCCATTGCACTAAGCCTTTCAAGGACACAGTATTAGCTGGGTGAGAAAGACCTCTAAAGGGACAACAAGAGATAAACACGATTTCCCTTTTTTATTTATGCACTTTCCTTAGAGAAATGTTAAATCTGATTTCATCCCATTGTATGATTTATCAAAATGAAAATTAACCAATATTTATTATTTGAGTGTGGAACCAATTGATTACATTACTTACCAACCAGCCTTCTGCAGTAAAAAAATTCTGAATAAGCTCCAGAAGGAGACAAATGACCTCATGGACCTCACGGTTTTTAACCATTCCCCAGTTTTCATTCCACTTCAATATTTTATCTCTGAGGCTTACACAGGTCAAAAAAATATGGGGTACATTCTGTCAGTCAAAGTTCCAAAAGATTTCTCTAAGTCCTGCATGCACAGAAATATCATGTGGAACACAGAACTTGATAATGGTGGAAAGTTATTCCCCATAAGACTCAGTCAGTTTTCCACATGGAATTAAATTTTTGGTTGTCTTAGCTTAGAAGTCTCTGACTGCAACGTATCTTATTTCTCATTTCTGGGCTGTTTAGATCTACTACATCACATTAATAAACATCCCACAAGGACGAGATACTCACAGAGAAAGGGATGCAGGTGAACACGTCTTTCTCTGACACCACATCATCAATCAAGCTCCTGTTTTCCCCTTGGTACTCGAGTGTGGCACTCAGTGTCACAGACTCATTCAGGTGGGTTAGCTGAACACAGACTTTCTCAGGAGAATCTGTGTGTATCAGAAAGGGCAGCAGCACCATATACTGCCTAGGAAGAGAGGGAAGATCAGAAATGCGAAACAGTTTTAAGGCAACAGTAATAAGATAAAGAAAATTAACAAATCAGTATGCATAATCCATTACTATCCCTGTGAACTGCAGTGCATATAGCATGAGCATCCATTTTATTTCGTGTTTATGCATATTAAAAGACCTATCTAATTAGCCTAAAAGCAGGAAAATGCTTGCAGTAGAAGGAACAATTTCTATGCTAATAAAGAGTGCATTACAAAGGATGTGCAGTTTGGCTTCACAGCAGGGAGTAAGGACGGTTTGAAAGGTTCCAGGCTGTTAATTGAATCTTGTATATCCCACAATCTCCTATTGAGACTCAAAGGCATTAGCTAAAAACGGTTGAAAAGAAAACCCATCCACTTTTCTGGCTGCTCCAGTATTTGCCTATCCACGTTTCAAAATCGTTCACATGCTGAGCAAATATATGAGTGCTTGCACAGTTTGGGACCTTACTAAGATGAGCACACAAAGGATTTCAGAGTAGTGTATCATTGCAACTCAAGTGTTCTGGCATCTTCAAAGAGCTTTTGACAAAGGTCCCTCATAAAGGATCCTTATGCTAAGCTGCTGTTCAATAAAAGGGATCATTTTACTAATATATCAAATTATTAATTCCGACCTGGATTGGTTAAAAGATAGGACACCAAGGATAGGAACCAGTGAAAATTTCCAGGGTTTGTGTTGGGACTCCTATTCTTCAGTACACTACTAAATGATCTGGGAAGTACAATTTGGTGATAACTCTGCAGGGTAAGAAAATACCTAAAACTGACTTGCATACTTGTGGAATTTTTTTGTCATGTAGTGGGACTGTGTAGCAAAAGTGGCAAGTGAACTGTTCATAAAAGGAGGGTAATCAATAGAAGAAGAAAAAATTACCCCAACAGTATGTATGGTATCATGATGTGCTGTACCACTAAGTGGGCTATTACCACTCAGACATGAGCACTATTGATCACTCTTGGAAAATTGCCATTCAGTAATAAGTAATAAATGGACTGTAGAGAAGTGTGAATGCAGCTCACAGCTGAGTGCATCCAGAGCTACATTACTGCCTGGGCTCTGAGCTTTTGGGAAGTCCTATAGCTACTATGGACACAGTGGGACCCAGGCACTACCTTCATTTCCTTCATCACTAGGCAATGGGATAAGGTGTAGTGAGTAGCCTGCCGGCAAATCTGTCAGCACATGCTGCTGCAGAAGCAGTGAAATGAGGGAGCTCCAGACACCCAGGGAGTGACTTACAACTTGTGACTCTGCTTTCTTCCACAGCCTTCTCACCACACCTTCACCCCATGCCTGCTTCCCCCAATCTCATTTCCTCTGTCCTCTGTCAGTGGCACTGGCAATCTGACAATAGCATTCAATCTACAGAAGGGACAGTGTGACCTAGTTTGTGGGGAATTTGGCCTCATTTCTCTTCCTGTTCACTGTTCTGCTGAAATTTTGGCCAACATGCAGAACTTCCCCTTAGAGTGGCTTTCCTGCCTTTGAAACAAGGATATAAAACATGCTGTTTATAGACCTCTCTTTAGGTGTTTTGGGTTGTGTTGGCAAAAAGAGCTAGACGAATTAAAGTACTATGAGGGCTTTAAATAACTTGAGTCAAAATCCATGTATAGACATTCCAGAACAAAAAGCATCTGGGCTGCCAAAAGAGGCCTCAGCAGTTTTCATGCATGCAGTGAGTTGTTCTGATAAGACAGGCAGTGACTCTGACAGAAGTATGTATCAAGGAGGGATAGGAGACCCTAGAGATAGTGACTGAAGCAAAAGTTGAGAGTTTGTCTACATAGAGAAGGCATTACTATAGCTTAAGATGGAATAATGTCTGTCTGTATATTGACTCTCAGCTACTTACTAGAATAAGCACCCAGCTGAAAAGGCAGTGAATTTCATCAGCTCCATCAGTCCAAATCCAAACCTGCCAATTCAAGTGTCATTATGACCTTGCATTTCTGCATGCAGTGTATTCCCAAGCATGTACACTGCATGTAAAACAGCTTACATGCACAACCACATACCAGAATAGGAGAACAATACCTTCTGTTGCATTCTTCCAGAACCACCCAGAGCAGGAAAATAAATTATCTTGTTTAGTGTCTTATAGCATCATAGAAGTTTTGGTTGCAAGGGACCTTTGGATGTCTCAAGCCCAACTGGTCTCCTGGAACAGGACTGTTGCAAAGGACTCCACAGACGGAGTTTCCACCATCTCTCTGGGTCACTTTTTACAGTGCTGCACCATCTTGGTGATATAAGTTTTTTCTAATATCTAGTCTGAACTTTAATTGTGCCTCCTGTGCAGCTGGTTACATCTGAAACAGAAATAGTACTAGCAACTGCTGCTGCTCAGAGAAGTGATATCCCTACTTGTGCAAGAAGGCACAGTAAGCAAGTCTTGGTTGGAAGCTTAATTTTTGTGTTCAGTTCAAGGGTGGCTTCCTTTCTGTATCCTACACAGCATCTGGTGTACCCTGCAGTACTTAAATAGAACCACTGCCCCTATACTACCTAGTAATTCACTGCACAGACTCAATCATTCCCCTGTTGGGCTTCTAACATCCTTGTGTGTTTCCCAACAACACTGCTCTCTCTCCCACGTCTCTCAGCTTTTCCTCCTTCTCCCCTTCCAAAATGGGGCTCAGGTCAGGGGCAAAGAGCAGCCTACAAGAAAAATGGAGAGAGGCTATTTACAAGGGCATGTAGTGATAGGAAAAGAGGAAATGGTTTCAAACTGAAACAGAGTAGGCTTAGATTAGGTATTAGGAAAAACTGTTCACTGTGAAGGTGGTGAGGCACTGGCACAGGCTGCCCAGAGAAGCTGTGGCTGCCTCATCCCTGGAAGTGTGCACGCCAGGTTGGATGGAGCTCTGAGCAACCTGGTCTAGTGAAAGGTGTCCCTGCCCATGGCAGGGGGGGTTGGAACTAGGTGGTCTTTAACATCCCTTCCAACCCAGGCTGTTCTATGATTTTATGATTCTGTGTTTCTCATAGCTCTGAGCAGTATGGTTTCATTCCCTTTCTCCCCTATCTTGGGCAAGGATGAATCAAGATTACTTAATTACTTGGTTACATCAGATTACTGCAGGGAGACCAGAGAGCTCTGCCTGACCCCAAAGCAGACTTGGCTGGCTGATCAACCCTAGAAGCACCCAAGCAGGGCAGATGAACGAGGGGTTCATTGTGAGACAAAGGTGCTTCAGGCTAAGCCAGTCACCACATCTGACCACACAGTAGATGCCAGTAAGTAATGCTGCACCTTCTGCTACAACTGTTAGCACTGTGGCAGTGCTTGTGGGCATGAAATCTCTGCAGCAAACATTACAAGACCCATGTTGGTGAAAACTGCACTTCTGTAAGCACAGCAAGAGGAACAGTGTGTGACAGCAGCCAGGGTGTGAAGAGAGATACTGCTCCCATCCAGACTAAAAGCTTTTGAGCAGCACTCTCTGGTAGGCTAGTCTAGGGTGGGCATGCCAAACTCCAGTCAGCCTGTGCCATCCCAGGCTGCCCCTGTCCTCAGGGCCGTCAGCAGAGTGTGTGCTGCAGCTATGCCGCTGGTTCGCAGAGCCGTGGGGTGGATGCCTAAGAGAGGGTGCTGGTGCCAGATTCTGTGCTGGAGGAAGAGAATCTAGGTCACAGATCCTCTCTGAGAGCAAGTATATCTGATGCTGCCAAGGAAAACAAACTGGCATGAAAGCAACAGGAGAAGGGGGAGAAGTAATTCACTGATTGAAACAAGGATACTTCAGGAAGGGTAAGTACCTGGGTTCTGGCATCATGCCCAAAAAACCCCAGACCCTGGCAGGTTTCTAGGCAAAAATATACTCTGGGCACTGTCAGAGCCTGGGGGGAGGAAAGAGGGACAGGGGCACTGGCACACTGGCAGAGCTGGCAGTGGGTAAGGGTCCCAGGGCTGGACAACCAGAGGGTTACAGGATGGGAGTGGGGAGCACTGGCAGAGCTGTACAGCAGCCTTGGTTATTAGTGGTATGCAGAG